CACTTAATAATCATATTTTAATATACAGAAATTAATAGACAAAACCCAGGTTTTGAGTATGAAAGTTTTAATATTAAAAATTTAGTGTCTCTGAAAATATTAAAGGTTAGAATACTGTATATATTATTAATCTAATAACAACTGAAAGTATAACAGTGGAAAAAATCTAGAATATACAGTATATCACAGAAGTGAGTACACCCCCTCACATTTCATACATATTTTAGTATATCTTTTCATGTGACAACACTGAAGAAATACCACTTGGCTACAATGGGAAGCAGTGAGTATACAGCTTGTACAACAGTGTAAATGTGCTGTCCCCTCAAAATAACACAAAACACAGCCATTAATGTCTAAACCGCTGGCAACAAAAGTGAGTACAACAATAGTAATATAGTTCAAGATGGGGGGAAAATATTCAAGTGATGACAGAAGGGAAAGCCTGCCTAAAGAACCAGGTCTTACGTTTGCTTTTAAAAACACTCAGCAAGGGAGCCATACAGATGTCTGGGGGCAGACTGTTCCAAAGGCGATTGAGGGACCACTGCCGAGAAGGCCCGGTTTCTTGTTTTTTTCTCTCTGGGTCTCCCTTGGCATTAGGCCACTCAGCTGCCCTTCCCAGCTAGAACAAGTGATTCGGGTAGATCTACTGTAGGTAGGAGGAGGCCTTCCGCTAGATACCAAGGTCATAAACCATTTAGGGATTCATATGTCATCATTAACACTTTGAAATCAATGCGGAAACAAACGGGCAGCCAATGCAAGGCAGCCAGAGTGGGGGAAATATGCTGACATTTTCTCATCCCACTGAGAAGTCTGGCCACCACATTCTGCACCATTTGAAGCTTCTGCATCAGTCTCAAAGGTAGCCCCATGTAGAGTGCATTGCAGTAGTTTAATCTCGAGATTACAGGCGCATGGACCCAAGTGGTGAGCACCCCAACATCAAAATAGGGACACAGCTGGGCAATCCGCCACAGATAGGCGGAGCAGACCACTGACGCCACCTGCATTTCCATGGTGAGCACCGGATCCAGATGGACCCCCCAAGCTGCGAACCTCACTCTTTGTGGTGAGGGTCACTTCCCAAATGAGAGGGAGTTTACCAAACCACCAATGGAGGGGCCACTCACCCTCAGGACCTCCGTCTTGTCTGGGTTCAGCCTCAGTCCATTCTCCTGCATCCATTGCAGTACAGCTTCCAGGCAGCGCTCAAGGGACGGAACGGCATCCACTGTGGGTTGGAGAAAAGAAGAAGCAGAGCTGGGTGTCATCAGCGTACTGATGGCACAAAGCCCCACACCACCTGATGACCCCACCCAGGGGCCTCATGTAAATATTAAACAGCATTGGGGAGATAACCAAGCCCTGCGGAATCCCACAACTGAGGCTCCACAGGGCTGAGAAACTCTCTCCAATCTGCACTCTTTGGGGATGGTCCTCCCAAACCATGCCTACATGTTAAGTACTGCAAGGCCCAGACCCAGTTGTAATTGTCATAGATACAGGAAAACTTGAAATAGGCTGCTTAGAATCATTGTGGCCAAAAGCCACTTAAATATTGGATATTAATAGTTCATAAATTGCTCCTGGTATTATTACTTTTTTGTTTTTAAAAATCATTTTATTGGGTTTAAATGATAGGCATGCAGGCCAACAAAAAAATATCAACATCTAAATATTTAAATAACTAACAAACTAAACATTAGTTTGGGTTCCATAGTTTTTTTTAATTGTTGGAATGCAGGGGATATTGTATTACTTAATAATATTTATTATTTATAAGGTACCTCACAAAAAACTAGGCACTGTACATGATTAAATTAAAAAAGAACAAACTCTGCCTGCAGGCTTACAATCTAAGAAGAGAAGACCATATGGAAAAGAGAATAAACAGAGGAGAAGCAGAAGTAATTCCCTCACATCTGATTTTGAAGAGATCTGTGCGTTAACTGCTTTGAGTTCTTTTTAAAAAAACAGATAAAAAGAAAAACTATTATTCTTATTGAAAATACAACATAATAAAAGTACATGGGGATATGAGGGCAGAGGATTTAATAATATTTTTGGAAAAGCTATTTTTCTAAAATAAGGTACTGCTTATTTAAGGCAAAAAAGAGGAAGTGTCTTTATCTTCCTTGGGTTAAAAAGAAAGAGCAACATTGCCTTTTTAAAAATTAAATCATGTCCTCATACATCTTCACTCAGATGTACAGCCCACTGAAGTTAATTCTGCTTCCTTCAAAACAGATATGTGCACGTGAGGCCAGAGTTTTAGGTAACTAACTTCTCATAACCTAAATAAAGCAGTCGATCTAGTCCAAGGCAAAGGAAGGAAGCCGGCCTGATTTTTTGTTTGTTTGTTTGCTTCACCTTTTAATCTCCTTCATCTTCCTCACTAAGAGAGACATGGGTGGATTAAATTAATTAATGCTTAACCCTGAAGTGTTCCCTTATCAATAGAGAAAGAAGTAAGCAATTGGTATGATTCCCAAAGTGACAGCAACACATTTGCTTTTAAATTTTGTTTGTTTGTTTAGTCGTTTAGTCGTGTCCGACTCTTCGTGACCCCATGGACCAGAGCACGCCAGGCCCTCCTGTCTTCTACTGCCTCCCGGAGTTGTGTCAGGTTCATGTTGGTTGCTTCGCAGACACTGTCCAGCCATCTCATCCTCGGTCGTCCCCTTCTCCTCTTGCCATCACACTTTCCCAACATCAGGGTCTTTTCCAGGGAGTCTTTTCTTCTCATTAGATGGCCAAAGTACTGGAGCCTCAGCTTCAGGATCTGTCCTTCCAGTGAGCACTCAGGGTTGATTTCCTTTAGAACTGAAATAACATCCACGTTCAAGGCAGTTAAATAAAGAATTTTTGCAGATATGGCAATACCTCACGTTGCAGGAGCCAGAGTTAACACTGGTCAGTATCACAGGTATTTAGGAGGTAAACAAAGACATGTTGTTGTGTAGATGGTCTAAACAAGTGACTCTATCCCGAAATGGGAATGTCTCACATTCTGAATGTTTATAATGAATAGAACAATTTTCAAAGAGAATAATTTGGTGGTGGTTGGGGGTTTTTTGGGCTGTTTGGCCATGTTCTGGAGGTTTTTCTTCCTAACATTTCTCCAGTCTCTGTGGCTGGCATCTTCAGAGGACAGGAGCCAGAATTCTGTCTGTGTTCTGGACAGACAGAATTCTAGTTCCTATCCTCTGAATATGCTGGTCACAGAGACTGACGAAACATTAGGAAGAAAAACCTCCAGAACATGGCCAAACAGCCCGAAAAACCACAACAACCATAGGATCCCAGCCGTGAAAGCCTTCAAGAACACAGAATAGTTTGGCCTTTTAAAACTCATTCAAAGTTGGACTATCTCTAGTAGACATCTTATGCACTTGGGTCTAGTGTTTAATTTCTGAAGTGAGGGTTATTGGAGTTCACAACTGTTCGGAAAGACTGCTTCAGAATTCTGCAGAGTCCAGACTAAGATATTCTAGATCAAAGTTAGGTAACTTGTGCTTCTCCTTATGATGTTGGACTGAAGTTTCCAACATTCTGTGGCATTGGCTAAGGTAACTAAGGTTGATGAGAATTGCAGTGCAAAAGCATCTAGGGCTCCATATGTTCAATTGATTGAATTATCCATTTAGTCATATCCAACCCTTAGTGATTCCATATGTTGCAAAGTCCTAATCCTAGAGCCACATAGTTTCTTTGTCCTAGGATCTTGGAATAGCATGATCTAAAACAAGGGAGACGCTTCCCACTCTCAAAAAATAAAATAAATCCTGTAGCTGTCCCTTTTTTGCATCATGCTGTCCAAAGGAATGAAATTAAAATTTCCTGTTTTGTGTCACTAATGTATATAGAGGTAGGAAAGTGATGTGTATATAATTGAGGAAAGCTGTTGAGGAAGCACATCGTTCTTGTGGGACTCCAAAAGATGGCCCTGCCTGGAAATTATATCCTATGACTCCTCTACCCATTTCTAAGGGTGTGGGTAGCTATATTATTCCAAGTTTAATTCCTAAACCCAGATATTCAAGGGTTTATGTAATCCCAGTTATTTGTGGACTGATTGTGAGTACTTAGTGCAATTGCATGGAAAATGCACTCCGCACTAGTGTAAAGGAGCCACAGCTAGTGCAATTGAAGCCCTAGTATCTTCTGAGCAGTAAGAGCCATGATATCGTTTGCCACCCCCTCAAACTTTTCTGTTCCCTTTGAAGTTACCTGCAGTCCTCAAAGTAGTTGGGGAAAAAATGGATTTTCCCAGAAACAGTATATTGAAAGCTGTCCCTGTTATAGTGCAAAACATTTAAGGTAGTTTGGTCTTGAATAAGTGGTTAAGAGCCATTAACTTTATAAAAAAAAGACCTGCTCCTCACTTGTTATGTCAAGCTCCAGATAACTGAATTTTTTGAATTTCTTTATAGGGGGGAGGTTGACTGGATATGGCGACTGCTATGATTCAGTGTTCCAGATCTCCCAGTGCTGGGCTCTGTCATTCTGAACAGGTTCTGATGCTCCAGTTTCAGTAATGAATTCCAAGCTGAACATTCCCAGGGACAAAATTCTGTTTAAAACTAGGAAACCACTGCAAAATAAAACCTCTTCAGTTATTCAGGTGCCACTAGATTCTGCTTTTTCTACAACAGACTAATGTGGCTATTGGTTGTTGTGGGTTTTTCGGGCTCTTTGGCCGTGTTCTGAAGGTTGTTCTTCCTAACATTTCGCCAGTCTCTGTGGCCGGCATCTTCAGAGGACAGCACTAATATGGCTATTCTGCCGAAAATTAGTATATTTAAACAAACAACCGAATTTAGGCCTTTATGCTGGGTGACGCTGGCTGAAAATGAGGTCCTTTCCCAGAATCAGGAGAGCTACCTCCACTGAACACGTGTTCTCGGCATGTGAACATGCTAAGGCTACTTGCTTTCGTGCAAAACAACTATGCGGAGAGAAAAGGAGTGTAGCAGCAGGAGGATCTCCCCCCCCTCCACTCCGTAGAAGCGGCAGGGAAGGGGTTAAAAGTTCCTCACAGGCCGCCCCGGGCAGCCCCATTTGCAATGGCTTGCTTCTTTCTTTCTTTTTTATTTTATCCTTAAACCGCCGCTTTTCCCTCCGAGGCAGCTCCTTTGAACCTAAGCAGATTATACTGGAAGCGCATGAAGGACACCGCGAGCTCGCCCGCGTGTTTTTTTTTTTTTCTTTCCCGAGGAGGAGATTTGGCTCCAAAATAGGGCGCTAAGCCGCCTTTCAGCCTCGCGCGTATAATTTTATTAACGGAGGGACCGGCGCGAGCGCGCCAGGCGGCCTCGGCCCGGGCAAGCCTCCCCGGCAGGAAAGCGAAGCAAGCGGCCGGAAAGCCCCCCAAAGCCCGGTCGTCGTCGTCGCCGGCGCCGCGAACCTGGAAAAAGCCTGAGGAGCCATTAAAGGAAGGAAGCGCTTTTTAAAATCAGGGCCCAAGCTCTTTCTTGGTTTCCATGACAGTTATTAGGTAACAGAAAAAAAAATATTGAACTGTCTCCCACAATGCTCCGGAGAAAGAAAGGGGGTGGGGGGAAGAGGTTGCTCCAGTGACAAAGCAGAGGAATCCTGACTCGCGGCAATTCGACTCAGGAGAGAATTTGAAAAACTCTCTGGATTATGATGTCAATTTTTGGGTGCCCGCTCCTCGGCGCTCTGTTTAGGCTGGTGGGCGGTAGTGGTGCCTTTTATTTCTGAAGGAAGAGCCTGCGCCGCTCTTGCTTACCTCGGAGCACACACACCACAAGCACGCGCTCGCAGACACACACACGCACACACACACCTATCTCTGGCATCCCCCGGATATGAACAATTATTCAGGTGGGCTCTTCACGGGGAGCGAAGCTCGAAGGCGGCCAATCAGGCGGTGGCAACCTGCAGCCCTGTCAGGATGCCGCTCCAGCGGATCTCGGTAGTCCCAGCGCGGGAGACGGCCAGCAATGGGAGAAGTTCGATGGGCAGAAACAAAGAGAAGAACAAGGAAGTCGAGGTAAGCAAGGGTCCGCGGGGCTAGTGGTCGCCTACCACGACGGGGGGGCAAACAGTTTGCTGCCAGTAGCCCCAAAGGGTGGGGTGGACAGTTTACTCCAGAGGAGGGAATTCGGTTGGAGAATTGCTACACACACACACACACACACACACACACACACGTGTGTGTGTGTGTATGCATACAGGATGTGTAGCGTGTCGAAATGCAATCTTCGCAAATGCCTGAAATGCAGCCTTCCCGAATGCGCCCCTTTATAATGGGAGGACTAGGCGCTTGGTGCAGATAGGGGATGATGTTACAAAGAGGATGTGCATTGTCAGTGCTGTTTGTGGCTCGGAAAAAAGGGGCTCCTGTAGAGGGGTGTGCGCGGAGGAAGGGTTATGGTCCACTGACTCTACAGACAATGGCCATTGTTCCTTCTGTACTTTCCTATGGTGTTCTAAAAGGCAACAGAGCATCGTGTGCATGGGCAGGGGGAATTGTCAGCAGGAACAGCATAGAAACACACCCTATACAGGAAAGCCCCTAATAAAATAGCCATCAAATATGGATGTGCAATCCTTCTGACATACAGGCATACACTCTTTTACTCATTGTCCATTCCCATGTCAAGCCCATCTGTTTTGTTCTCATTCCATTGTTATCTGTCTTTCCTTGAGTGAAATATTTATGAGAAAGAAACTATTCTATTATTGACCAACAGGAAATTCTAGGATCCTAGGTGTGCAGGATCCTACGGTTGACACTGTAGTAATTTATTGTAGATCTAGTTTCTGAAACTATTTTCTAACAGAGATTATCCAGGCAAAGTAAGATTTTGCAAAATTTTGCTTGGAGTGTTTGGTATAGGGGAAATGAAGCTGCAACTGTTTTAAGTCTCTTGGTGCCTTTTAAATATGTAGATTGGTTAATATGTTTAGTTAACCTTTAACACACTTTTTCAGTTACAAATAATTGTGTCTGGGAAGACGAAATATTTGAAGGTTTTTACTTGGAAAAGTTTGCTGTATTTCCCAGTTGGGTTTACCCCATAGCTCGTTTTTGCATTTATTACCTCTTTTTATTTCATGCATTAATAGCTCATTCATCATTTGCAATTTATGTACTAGTGTAAAATATCAGTAGGTTTATTATACTTGGCTGAGACCCTGCTTCAGCCTTGCAGTTGGCTTATAACTAATGCAGTGATTATTACTCCCTCATTTTCAGCTACACAATGTTATCCTTCTAAAAAAAATATAATTTTGCACAATGATCTTGTTCAACTAGTGATATCTAACACATCAGTGAAAATTATGAAGTATCAGATTGGAGTTTTCTTTGGTAGGGATCAACTTAAAGTGACAGTGGTCCAAAGAAAAATGTCAGGCAAGAGAATGGGAAAAGTCTAATACAGTATTGGCAGAATGATGGCTTAACTGCATAATTTGTCACTTAGGTAAGCTATATTAGGTAAGTCTTATAACCACATTATACTGCTTTAGGCTGAGGGAACTAGTTCCTGTCTTGAGGTCCTTACAGAAACACCTCCCAAAAGGAAAGCTTCTCTTAATGTAAGATTTTCCCCCCTTCCTATGAACTCGTAATTTGATAAGCCTGGGTTGTTTGTTGAATGAATTGTACTTCAGTAGATTATTGTAGAAACGAGTATGCATGCAGATTCAGAAAACAATATAAACTTATAATTTAAGAAAAAGAGAAGAAATCATTTTTAGTTAGATCTGTCAATAAAAACATGCATAGCAAAATGGTCTCCTGCTGTGTAGAAGCCCTTGCTTGGTCAGTTGTTCATATGTTTACCTTCAAAGAACCTCCCCCCCCCCCC